TTTAGATAAAACAAACAACAATGCAGAGTTAGGTCAGTAGCCCAGTCTTCAAAGGAGGTAGTTCTAATGTGCATAATGCTTCACGTCAGAACCTGTTTGCAAGTTGACTGACAAAAACAGAAAGAGATAATTAAGAAATGCAATGCTGCTGCCTCCTCTTCTTTTTTACAGTGGGATGAAGAGAAAGAGAGTTAAGACTTAACCAATCGCGATATGACATCAGATACGTGTATCTATGGGTGTTTTTTCCACAAAGTGTTTAAATTTTATTGCAGTTATTCCAACAGTATTCCAGAATGACATCAGTCACTTCCTCTCCTTACTCCAATTCCGGAAATGATGTTCTCTCGGGGATCTCTGCTATGCGTTGGCTGCCAGACGGTCCCCAAAACGCGTTCTCTGCTTTCACGCGGCCCCAGCCGGCGTCACCGGTCAGCCAGCCGGCGAGGGGGGCGGGCGGGTCTTCTGGGATGGGCGAAGAGCCCGTGGGCAGCGTTATGCGAGTCCAGCACTTTCTCCGCTCCAGATCTGGCGGCGGCGGCGGCGGCTACTCACGGTCAATAGCAGCCCCCGTGCCCCGCCTCCGCCACATTCCACCGCACCTGTGCCCGCCACCGCCGCCCCCCCTACCGCCGGCTGTTTTCCTTCCGCGTGAACCGCTGGGAGTGGCAGAGCAGGACACGCTGCGCCTACCCATTACGAGAGATGGGACACATCTGGTTGGGATTCTGCCGGTGTATTGCATAATGAATGTCTGACAGAAATGCTGTAGCTTGTTGGTGGACTTTGTTGTTGGCGTTATTGTTCTTGTCATTGTTGACGTTGGTATCGTTAATATATTAGTTGGTTTTGTTGTCGATGTACTTGTCTTTCTTGTCATATTTTTATGGTGTATTTTGTAATTTTGTTTGCTGTTGCTTCTGTAGCTCAAGCTGCTGTTGCTTGAACTATTGTCATTTCAATGTTTTTGGTCTCCTGGTTGTGCTTTTGTCGACGGGCAGTGTATTATGTAGCTATTCATGTCACGGCTTTTATCAAACGGCACGTCTCTTTATTATATGTTTCTCCACGATATAATGACTCAGGTGGATTTAAACAAATATTGCTAGAATTGTACAGAAATTACTGATGAAAAATGATGAAGAATGATGAAGACAAAGTCAAAACTTGGCAACTTAAACAATTATTTTAAATGTTAAACTTAATCAAGAAAATTATAAATAGATGAACTTTTCTTCTTGAAACCGAAATTGAAAGGTGTAGTCACATCCACTTAATGTAATCAATTTCTTGCGTCAAACGATTGACCTTTTTAAATATTTTCTTTTCCTCACTTCTTTCCACTTTACTTCTCTTATAACAGTGGAGTAATTTCAAATATTTTGTGGGATAGGAAATGGCAAAATAACGGAATGTAATGTGTCTGAATATGTTTATCTATTCAACAAGGTTGTAAGCACAGTATCTTCAAATGCGATTTACAAAATAAGTGTTGAAATATATACGTCTCCCAAACCACTGGTCGAGTACCGGTGTTCCAGGGTTCGCGGCATCCAGCACTTGGCTCGGAAAGTGAAGAAGTAGCGCAGTCGCCGTAACAGACGAGCAGGAAAGCAAACTTGGACGCAACTCAGGATAACGACTCATCTCCGCTATGTTCGTACCAGACGCACTCTTCGGATACTATTCGTTTCCGTGTCACGTAATGGTAAGCTATTTGCATTGGTCTCAGCACAAGCCCTATATTGGCGATATTTCATTCTCAGTTTCCAGTTCCGTGTTAAAACAAACTGTAAGTATTTAAGTTTGTTTTTTCTATAATTAACAACTAAATTGAGGAAGAAGAATCTAAATTACGTGTTTTTATCTTTATGTGATCGTTTGTTACAAAATTGACAATTTGTTACAGTTAATATCTTTAAGTGGTCATTTGTTACAAAATTAATTTTTTAAACTTTAAAAAATAATTTTCGGAACATTAATGGTTATTATTATCTATATTTTCCTAAACGGCAAAAAATGACAATGTAAATACAAAAACCGCTTTGAAACTTCACATTCTGTCAGACTCTCATGTTTAAATGTAAAATCTAAACAACTCTGAACAAATTTCATGAAGGTGAGCTTCTTCGCAAGTTTTGATACGCCATGAGAGCGCGCAAGAGAAAAAGAAAGACGATTGTCGTGAAGGAGCAGAGTGAAAGAGAGAAGAAACGAGTAAACACCTTTAGGTTCTTTAGGTGGAAATTTCATCATGTTTATTCTCAGACTTGCAACCTTCTTTCAACACAATATTTTATTGTGCGCGCGATTCTTTTCGCGAGCAAATAACAAGGTAAGCCCCTCGGTGGGCCGCAAAGCAAAGCAGCCGGCTAAAGCCCCTCAGCAACCTAATCCCGCTTTCATAAAACCAGAGAAGAAGGACGCTCGAGGCATCCGGATCTCTCGAGCGTCGGAGACCGCCGGGGACGCAGGAGCTTCCCGTCCGGCGAAATGGCGACAAAGGCGAGGCGAATCGCGGCGTCCAGACACCCCGCGCTCCGCGAGAGACAGGGTTGCCAAGCCATCCGGAAATTACATATTCCTTTGCCGGAATGTAGGAGATAGACGACTCTAAATTAGTGCCGTTTTACCCAGTATCCTTCTTTGGGACTTGTTCACATTTGAAAACATTCAAATGGTGCTTAGAGCAGTGATAAGATAAGCTTCAACGCAAGTCTCTTCCAAATCCTGGATGTTAATATCACGATTTTAATAGAAATGTAAGTCATCTTGTTACTGCCTCAAGCCCAACATATATATGAAGCTGACATATAGAAACAAGATATTCAACACGAAAAACACGATGTACTTCACACGAGGTAATTTACGAAGTACACGAACTAATTTACGAACAGCAGGAAGCTTGCAATGGCTGGTGTTGCTTACCTTGTTTCTGTTCCAAGCCCTTCGAATCTTTTATGGCTTGTCTAGAACGCAGCGACTCTTGGACAGATTAACCAGAATTATCGACCTTCCGCTGCGGCGAAATCAGAGAAAAAATAATTGCTGTATCCTGTTGAGCGATTCGAACACCGTACTATACAGAACTTCACTGATTTTCCACTTTCTGGTTGATATCAATCGTTTTATCAGAAATAATAGTGCTGTTTTACCCAGCATTCTGAGACTGTGTTTCCTGGACGAATAAGAAAACAGTTGTGTTCAGTGCTCTTCGGATATGAAATACCAAACGTTTTCCGAAAGAAGTAGTTGTTGCGTGCGACGGCCAAGAGGTGGCACTGGGCCCTCCTTGACCCTTTTGCCGAACGATCCGGAATTTACGCGATTTAGTCGGAAGATTTCCCTGAATTAAAAGAAGCCATTTGCCTAGCATTCTGCAGCAATTTTATATCAATAGCTCTCATAGGGTGCATTCATTAGAAGAGATAAGAAAATAATGCAGCTGGACCGCCACGCAAACAAAATAAAAGTAAATGGAGGCGAATTCTCGAGATAGGGAGGCTGATACCGACACAAATTCTCGGACAGACAAGGTTTTCAAAAGACTTGAGAACTTACTTGTTTGTCTGAAAAATAACGTAGCAGAGTTATGATGGTTTTGTCCTGCATTCTGAAGCATTTCACACGACACCTGGGGCAGGCTTGGATTTAGAAAGCTAGTTATCTCAGTAAATTACTCATTTCAATTGCAATATCAGTTATAAAGCAGTTTCAAGGCACGTATCCATCAAAATATGAGTAGAAATACGAAATATATGTCAAATATATACTTCGAAAATATATCAAAATGCTTATCATCATAAGAGGTATAATGTTCCAAGTTTGGTCTTAGCGTCATAGATTATTTGAGGACTTCTCCTACCCAACAAACAGATTACTCCCTATCATTATAAATTGTATTTGATAACCACCTTCATGCATGTTTTTACAAATAATCGGACATCTATTTACAAAACTATTAAAATAGTGTGAATAGTTCATTGTCGTTGTTGGACAAACATTTTTTTCAATAATATCCAACATTTTCCAAAATATGGCAGCAGTGTAGAGCCTTCCCCCTGGCGCAGTAGCGACGGAGGGCAGGAAGTGGGACTGTGTCGAAAGCCACAAAATGCGCGCCAGCTTTCTTCCTGCGGAACAAACGTGCTAATAACGCCCGCGGGTCACGCGGGCGGCGGCGCCGACTCGAGCGTTCACCCGACTCCCACGCCAAGCCGCTGTCAACGATACCGCCCAACCCGACAATGCCGGCCCGGTCCCGGTCTTACCGCCTTACAACCCGTGCTCCGGACCCTGTCTCCTCCGCGGTCGCCTCTTCCTCCCTCCCTTTTCCCCTGTACACCTTTCCCTCCCCCTTCATCATTACTATGAGGCGGATTTTTATGAAAAGCCTTTTTTTTTTTTTTTTTCACTGAAGAACAATACCGTTTAGTACAGAAATTCATTTCAACTAATTAGTCAATATTTACCATTTAACATAATGTTTAATGCACTTTTCGCTGATTTCACCGATTTTATTGTCATTTTAATGGTACTTGCTTCAAACAATATTTACGAGGTACAAAAAATGTTCAGCATTGAAGGTTCCTGTGACGAAGGTTCCTGTGGCGCCTATCAGCGCCATTGTCCGTTCGGCCGATTTCGCGATAAATAAAGGCAGAGATTTTCTTTTAAAGAACAGTCCAAACCAAAAGTTAGCAAGCTGAGTTCACCTGGACAAAAGGAAGAAGCCTCAATTACAACAGTAACGTACTTAACAACTTGAGTTCCTCATCTATAGTTTTAACCAAATTTATTCACGCCATTTTTCTTTGTTTTCAAAGCTTTTTATTGATCATTTTTGGCAATGTTTTAGGTCATCAAAATCCGCCCCCTAACCATCACCTTGTCTCTTCCTCCTCCGCCTACTCCATCTTCACCATCTACCTCCCTCCCCGCACACACACACGTACGCACACATTCTCTACCCCCCTCTCCGCCCTTGTTATCAAGCTTACTCGAAACGTCATCGTTACTCCATCTGAATCAGTGTCGCCCCAACTGTCAATCAATGTCACCCTAAGATAATACAATAATATGAACTAATGTCGATCACACGTTCGCCCTTAGATTCAATGTCATTTGCAGTTCCAGTGTTTTCTAAGCTTTTAATTTCAGCTTCATCGCCGTCTGCTATCTTCTATTGCTTTCTTTCTCTCCCGGCGCCTTTGACAGCACCGCCCGCGAATCCTTTTGCCACCTCCAGCGTCATATCACCTGAGACGACAACTCCCACACTTCCGCTAGCACCCGTTTCCATCCGCCCCCGCCTAAACCCCTCTGCCGCGACGCTCTGCTCGGAGAAAGTCATGCAAGGAGCACGACGCCGACGCTACCAGTGGGAGCGGGACACCGTTCGTAATTGCGAAGTCGCTGTACTCAGAGCATTCAAGGCTTTGTGATTTTTAATTACACCACATTGTTATTATTAATAATAGCATTATTTCATTATTAATTATAATGACAGTATTATTATTATTATTATTATTATTATTATTATTATTATTATTATTATTATTATTATTATTATAACATGCTTGACAGTACTGATTGCAGATTAATATCCCAATGTTGTTAGTAAATTGTTTGCCTGTACTTTACAGTTTAGGACAAACATATAAACGTGAAGTTCATTGTATAGAGCCGTGTGGATATTTCACTCTGATCTTTTATGATTACCAAGAATTTAATATATCGATGGCTGAGAACCACATTGCTCGAAGTCCACTTTTTTCTGGAGGGTCATTTAAAGTTTTTGTGTGTAGTGGGTTAGTATGGACTGGGTTTGTTGTAAGTTGAGTTAAATATGTACAATTTTGCCCATACGGCTTCAATGAAGTCGTATGTGAGCCAGAAGAGCCTATTACAAATCAGTTCCTGCGGCAATATCCTGCTGCCTAGTGACAATTCTGAGTTCAACAAATTAACTACTGAATTAATTTGTCGATTTTAGTGCTGTAATTAGAAATTTTTGTTAATAAGAAATTCAAAGTTTGTTGTGTGTTGCAAAGACTGGAGTGTGAATGTGTATTAAAAACTTTTCCCATTCAGACGTTTGAGAGTAGAAGAGTCGATGAAAAGATTGTAAACAAAGGGCGGCCATCTCTTGACTTACCAAACTTGCAACAGAAATGTCAGAAGAAAAAAATTGTGCAACATTTTCAAAGAAATCTTAACAAGTTTTGTGATTTACAGGATTCACTAATAATAGTAAGCTATATTGTTGACCATGCATTTAAAAAAATCAAAATCTGTTTTGGCAAGTTCTGAGTACTGTGATTTAAAGAATTTGCACAATAGTACATAAACACATTAAAAATAGATGCTGCGTGGTCTCTTATAAAATGTGTTAAAATTATTCATGTTAATGATCAGAAATGTGCGTTTTATTTGATTCAAAGGATACATTATTTATTAACATTTTGTTTTGTACATATATTATTGAATGATTTTCAGTCTTCAAACATAGGGATATAAAAAATGGAATTGGTGCCTACCCACCAAAATATGGCCACTGCCATTCAAAATAATTTAAAAGTTTCAACTCACAATTCAGACGATGATTAACTCTCTCGAAAAGATAGAAGAGTAAAAAGAGAAACTTATTTCAAAGTGAACGTTGTCAAAGTAGCAAATTTGCTTTTTATTGTGATGCAATGCACAAAACGATTAATTAAAAGTATGAAAGGGGAAGGTCTATCTAAGCAGAGCATTCACGTTGGGATCTTTTTCAGCGACGTAGCAACTCCAGCACAACTCTCTGTATCCTTTCTACATCCAATGTTAATCCACTCAGTCACAGTCGGCTGATAAGAGAATGGGTTCGTATCCAAACGAAAGCAAATGTGGACGTGGATGAAAGTTGTGCGCAATTACACAGAGTCACGTATTGACCGGACAATAAGTGCACGGATGGATGAACAAATAATGAGGAACAAGGAATCAAAAGTATTTGCGTCCAAGTAGGTACACAACGCGGAACGAACTGTTCCGGAACGAACCGAAATAGAAAGTGCAAATGAAAAAGCCACGAAAAGCATGGGTCATAAATAAAATATCTGAAATGACGAAACTCTGGAACTAGCAGACCCAATAGATAAATCGTAAACAACCTTCCCTTAAATTGACCTGAAACTTACCTACCTAACAACACTTGAAACGAAAATGTAAATTTAATATAGAATACCGTGATATTTCATTACATCCCCAACAATGAGAAGAAGAAGAAGAAGAAGAAGAAGAAGAAGAAGAAGAAGAAGAAGAAAAGACCGAAACAAGCGACTGAAACATGGGGACGAAAATGGATGGTAATGGGAAACTACTACTTCCAACATAGAAACGTAACGCTCGCCCAGAACATATTAGGTGATAAAGAGCTTACTTCATGAAAGAATTAGAAACAATTCTAGGAAAGGTTCGAACCATTAGAGAATCGGAAATTAGAGAGTGAGAAAACAGCGCTGGTTAGTATGAGAAGAGCCTAGACTGGAGAGAAAATAAATAAGTAATGAGTAAGCAATGAATGTTAATCAGTAATTCAAGTTAGGTTAGTAAACGGTTAAATGAATAAAATCATATGTCTTAGTCAACTGTTAAGTAATAAGTAAATCATTAAATAATAATAATAATAATATTAATAATAATAAAATGATCAAATAATTAAGCACATTAGGAACCAAGGGGAGAGGGTACCTGAAATATAAGTGCAGAGGCGATGATGCAGACTATTTGCTGTGGCGCTGTTTGGTTTCAGTTGCTGAGGAGGCCAAACACTGGAAGGAGAATGCGTTACGTCCGCGCCACGAAATAATAATTATTTTAATTATATAAAAATAAAAATCAAATTTTATTATTATTAAAAATAAATTATATAAAATATTAATTATTTTAAAAGTAGAAGATTAGCATGAATTTGGTTTCTGACAAGTGGTTTTCCCTCTTCAGGGTTCTTTTCCTCATCCGTACCTTATGGTCTCTTTCCCGCGGCTTTGATGCGATGGAGAGACCATTTGGGGTGAATACCAGAATTCGAAAGGGTAGAACGAGGTAGAAAGTAAGTATGTAAAGGCTTAAAGACCTACAGCCTAGTACCATAATATTAAGTTATTTAATTTGTATCAGCAATATGCACCTATTGAATAAAAATAAGAAGGATAATAAAATAGTAATCATAAACTATCTATATTAATTACGAGCCTCAGGTCTGCTCTTCTACATAACAAAATAAAATATATACAAAATTTTAAAATTTATAACAAAGGTAGGGGAAACATATCCTTGAAACGTTTACGAGAAAATACATTTATTTCCGGGAATGCGAACTAAGGACCGTGACGGCGTTCGCACGAAGAGATTGAGAGAAGCCATAAAATATTAATGTAAATAAATAAAATTCCAGTTCGTACAGAAGTATAAAATCTCCAATACTACCTCTCCAACCCAAATGTACCACAGTCAGCATTAAAATAATAAAAATAAACATAACAGTAGTCATGAAAATAAACATAAAAGAGACAGTTCAAAACACACAAAAATTTGCAGACTTGAAGATATGAAACACAGAGTATTATCTAACACATTAAGTAACATGAAACGATAAGTTTTCCGGACTCAGATAGTGATAGGGGGGCAAATCTACATAAACAGAAACTGCAGTCGCTTTGGATTAAAAATAGACAATACTATCTTCAAAATTTACATAAGATAATTCTGAAGACGTATTATCCGCAGGAAAATATATTTAAAAATTTAAATATAAAATTATATATTTTAACACCATCGCAATATCTGTAATTATTATTCCTAATTCGGCATACCTGAGTTAAGCAGTTAATTAAATAAGATCGCTACTGACAGTACGAAGAGAAAGAGGGACACTCGGAGTACAGAAATGAGTTCACGAGTGCAAAGAAGGGAAAAATGACGGACAAGTCAGCGGGCAGCGAGCGAGCGGTGAGCGGGCAGTGGGCAGTGAATCGGACACGTCTCGACTAACTTCTGGAGCAAGAGGTACACCGCTACGGCGCTGAAAGAAGCCTCCACCTCAACTCGCTCCCTGGTCTCCCTCACTTTCACTTCTCGGTCATTGAAACAGTCGGTTTCGTTGGCAACTCGCGGGTCCACGAATACCAAATTTACAAGGTCAATCTCTGGTAGTGTTTTTTTCTGCAAAAGCACTCAGACTGTGATTCATAATTCGTCTCTAATAAACTGAAAATACTTAGGTTAAAAGTCAAAATAAACTAAATACATTTCGTTAAAATGCGTGAAATCTAAATAAAACATTTACTACAGGAGACATTTTATGAACACTTATAAAACATATAACGGAAATGAAAATAGTTTGGGAAAGAAGTTCGTATGTTCGGGTTGATACGAAAGGTAACGGAGACGAAAGAGTCGGACAGGCGGACAAACGAGAGAGTGAGAGAGAGAGGGCGGGAAGGAAATAGAGCTTGAGATAGAAAGGTAGAAGGGGTGGAGTTGGAAAAGGAGGGAGATGTATAGGCGGAGTATGTGGAGAAGTGCTTGCGTCTTTGCATGCATAAATGAAAGGTAAGTGAGATGGTACTTCACCAGGGATTGAGAGCAGACAACCCAGTAGTGGAGGGGCTCATCTCATCTCCCTTCCAAAGCGCCCGCTTTTCAGCTCTGGCTGTAGGAAGCTTGTGAGGGAATTGAACCGCGTAAGTATTCCTCTGGCTGTTGTAACATGGTTTGCAAACTAGGGACTGTTTGTTAAGAAAACAAGGCGTTAGACACTGTAATAGAATAGTAAAGGTGAAAAAAAACATTTTCGGAACCAATATTTCAATTAAACCTGTATAATTAAATAAGTCAACTGCACTTCATATGTACTCTTTTCTGCGGAATAAAACATTAGAACCGGGAGGGAGTGATTCAAGAATTTCGATGCAGGAATGAAAGGAAAAATAATGTAAAACATATTTCTGAATTCATATCTACAAAATAATAAAAAATTAGTTCTTTGGGATAAAAAATAGTACGTGTTAAGTGAGTTCAAAAATACTACTGATGAACTTTTACAAATATTCCTAGCAAATGAATATCTTCCGACGGACTGACAATGTGATGAAATATATAGTTATGAATGCCATAAAACAGGGCCCATCGTAAATCTGCATCAGGAGCAAAGAGAAGCTTTCCTCGACCGGAGTGATAGAATTAATAGATTGATCAGTGATGCCGACGCGTAAACTTTCTAAGGTGATAGTCACGTAGGTGGAGCGCACGTTTTCCCTCGGGAGATGGCAGTGATCTTCCCATCGGCTAGCAGGGTATTCCCCAACCAGGTATCTCCCACAACTGTCCCAGCTGAGACAAGCTCTAAGCTCCCGACCAGTTTCCCGGCATATGTGGTGGCGTAGGGAATGTAAGTGTGTGTAAGTAAGGGTGAGGATAGTGCAAGGAAGTGGAAGGGAAGATCACGTGCGATCCGTAGCCCGTTTGTTGCGTACTGCCCCGGCATTCACCTGGTGATGATCGCAGAAACCACGGAAACTACCAATCAGAGCAGCCAGTCGCTATAATTATCGTCCAGGCAACGACTCAAGTGTCGAAAAATCTGCTACCGTCAGGACTCGAGCCTGGGACCTCCCGGTTAGCGGCAATGCAGTCACATTAGTTCACGTCCTGAGCCACCACTTCTGGTCGGAGTGATAGAAGAGTCGCGACGATCAAGGCTAGGAGGAGGAGAGGGAGATGAATAAGGATGCATACGTACTAAAAGATACGTTTTTTAATTAATGAAAAGTAGCTTCAGAAATGTCAATTTATTAAGTACGGTTGAAAGAGAGTGAAAGTAAAAAAATTTCGATACAATAGGAATACAGAAGTACGGAAAAGCATTAAGTGGGAAGTAAGCAAACATCGGACAAAATATATTAGACACATCGTGAATAGTGTTCAAAGCGAAGCAAAAATATATTAAAATTGACAGGAGAAAATGCGTTAAATAGTCTTTGCCCAACTCTGAGCCGCTAGTTGGTAGCGAATTCAATAACGGCCTCCATTTGTTCCCGAAATTTCTCATATACTTTTCCCGGTAGTTTCCGAAATTTCTCGGCCTCCTGCGGAGAGCTAAACGCCTGATGTGTAAATGATGCACTTGGTAATGAAAGCAGGAGAGTAGAGTCAAAAGAGCTGTTTCAACTTGGCCACAAAACCTCCTACCTTGTCCACAGAAGATCCATTTGTGTTAACACGGAGGATTTAAACCGTGATATCATAGATGTAAAGGTAGCGTGCGCTGCGTGTGGCATTGTCGCGCAGTTCCTGCGGAACAAGTTTAACCCGACGAGCGGCGACGCAACGCGGCCGTGCGGGATCCGTGTCAGGGTGGACAGGAGTTCGAGAATGGGTGCGGTAGGCTGGCCACTAGAGCAATGCCCGACGATTGACCGATTTGTGATTCCGGGTGCGTCAACTGCTAGAGCCACTAGTTCGGTAAGTGTAGTGCGTGTTTTCATCGTGGGAGGTGGCGGTGATTCTCCTCCGCTGGCTGGCGAGATTCGGCGCCGACGTACGTCGGCTTACGAGGATTTTCTTCAATCAGAACTAACACTGTCCCTACAACCTCCTGGTCAGAGGCACTGCAGAGAAATCAGTCGATGCCCTGAGCCATCTTTGCCGGTTACGCCCATATCCATCAGGTAACAATATCAGAAAAGCTGCTTGTAAAGAGGTTCTGATAATCTTATTGGTATTTTACGTCCAAGTTCGAAGTTTTTATCTGGTCCGACGTTTGATTTCATAAAACGCTGCTCGTGCGTTGTACATTTGACAAGAAAAGACGCTCGAATGAACCTAGGAGATATTAATCTTCGCACAATTCTGATCCCAATTACAGAATAAATTAATATCTACATTGATACAAACTAAATTTAATACAATCTAACATTTTTTCCTTTCAAAAAATAATGTTTTTACATGTAATCTCATCTAATTGACGTGTGCTCTCACTCATTCATTCTCCTTAAATACTGAGACCATACGTTTTAGCATTACGGAGAAACATTTCAACAACCAAATATATCCTTTTGAAATAAAAAAAATACTTCCACTTATATTATTACATCTTGTAGGCAGTTCTCTACGTAATTAAAACTTGCGACAGTGACATCGTTATTCATTGGCGAAAGTGCGTTAAAAATGCAACGTAAAAACCTCCATTATAACGTAGAACCGCGACTTAGAAAATGTTTTGTACGTACCATAAAGAACCAAAATAATGATGCAATATAGTCGGTCATTTACGCTGCAAACAATTATTTTTCCTTTAATTCTCCACAGCAATGGAACAAAAAAACAGTAAAATAACCTCTGTAGTTTCCATTTGTTCCGTTTCAGAACATCTCAGGGCACTGTTCGTTTGCATTTCCGCTTCCTTGCCCATGGTAGGAAACAAACGCGTCAGCGAGAATGAAATCGCCAAAACGTGTTACATAAATTTTGCTTAGTCTTGGTACAGTTATGTTCCGTCATCTGCACAGTTTGCATCATTACAAAAAGTTACAACTCACGATTAACGGAAGCGTATCTCCATCTCTGCCTTTACACCAATTGAAGAATACCTCAGACCAAGTTGTAATGACACATTACGACAAATCACTCGTTTATTTACTTTACACTATGCATTATATTAAATACATTTATTCACTTCATTTCTATATGTGAAAGTACTCATAAGTAGAAATGATACACGAGGAAAGCATAATATTGTGTTCGTAGTCACATACTGTATTCTGTAAAAAAGGTTCTCATGGAAGTTAGTTGTAAATAAGTTATTTATAAATGACTCAATTAACTAGTGTAAAAGCAAATTTTAAAATCACAGTATGCTAAAAAACTTAACACTTTTTATATATTATCACCAAAGTTAATTTGATGAAATTTCATGTTTATACTCAAATGCATGCTTGTAAATACCTCAAATAAAACAAACGAATCAAAATGGGAACGCCCTACCAATGGAATAGAAAAACAATAACATGGTGAGTGAAATAATTTTATAAACAAATATAATGTTTCTTGTAAGAAACGTTCAATTCGCACACAAATCCATATTTAAAATGACTATCTTATTTTGGTGTCTTAATGTTCCAATGTTACAAAAGTGCCTTAATGTTACAATATGAGTGTTATGTTCAGTAAATGTATAAGGTAGCTGTGCTTACATTCTGCTCTCTACGACGCTTCGCCCCACTGAATTAGAGTGTAACCGAATCCATCATCTTGTGAATCCCTCACTCACAGCTCACACGCGTCACATTATGCTCGACTATTCCTTAGCTACGCTCCGGGTAATTGCGCAATGTCCTATCCATCATATGAACCGCATTGTTAAACCCTTTCTCACATCATGGCCAAGCACTTCCTGAGCCGAGAGCTGAACACACGCGGCGATCGATATTCCACCTCGATTCCATTCACGGCACCCCGTACTTCCACGTGATCCCCGACTTGCGCTCTGCGCTCTGCGCGGTGGAATGCAGCCTTGGGCTGTTGTCGTGGTCCAGCAGTATACTGGAGCACGAGTTGACGTAAGCGCGAAGGCAGGCAGGTTTCGCCGGCGGTGGCACGATTTCAATACACGTAGCCGCGTGCTGTGGCCGTGGAACGCAGCTGCGTGGACTTATATTTCAGATGAACACGTTACCAATAACATTTGGTGGATTAAAAACAGATTGAGATTGAACAGAAGATATCGTAAGATATTGTGATATTTCTTTTGAGTAACGACTTATATTTTCTCAAAGATAAATATCCAGTGTTTTAATTAATATCACGTATGATTGATTTCATACAGTACTTCTTGCTGTATCATTTTTATTTGACGCATTTGCTATCATCAGCAGAGCAAAGTAAGAGCAGTTAAAAGGAATGATACAAAATGTTCGTATCATTGTTAGGTCCTGGAAGCAATATAATTGCAACCTCGATTACTTTCGAGGGTTCTCTGCAGGGTGTTTCTAGGGACAAAATATATTCCGAGCGAGTAGGTGAAGTTATTTTAATAATGAGTGTGGTCAAGAGAGTTTCTTTCCTAGTTCTCATTGGACAATGCAATCAGGAATGTTAACTGAATTGACGTCGTTCATTTACTGCGCGTGAAACGTTTACAGGTGCTGCGGTCTGGCCTTGCGTGTCACCTTCAAAGGCCTTGTCTTGAAACTAGATGTCATAGAGTACATGTGCCATTCAGCAAAAATAAAAGTATTTACTCAACATTATGAAGTCCCTTATAATGCACGTTCTGGTTTGATAGTACAGAAAAACTTAATTTCTTAAGGAACGACCACTCTTCGGCTACCCTCTCAGTAATGTGATTGTGTCGGTCCTCTGATGGCACAGATGCTTCGATTTTCCACAAAATACTTCAATACAATTCATGGGATATGTAAGATTCTTTTATATGTTCTATGATTCTTTGAGCATTGAAAACTTCATTTCATTTGCTACTTGGCTCGTATGAAAGCAAAGGTAATTACAAAGTACATAGGTGCGTTAGCAAAATCGTCAAATTATAACCCGCAAATACATTTTAGGAATTTCTGTTTATATAAAATACGATTAATACATTTGAAATACATTACACCCTCATGTAAATTAATTCTAATAAAATGCTCCTAAAAGAGTAATTAGTTAGCACAAATGTCTACTCTGGCAATTAACAGCTATGTTCAAATGTTGTAGGTCTTTGCTAAATCGTGAGCTTCCTTCGTTCATTATCTACAGTGGATCACATTAATATTCGGACAGCCACAAATACTGAAGGCGTTTCTTGTTTGACTGTAATTTTTCGCACGTGCGCGGAAGTTTCATGTGAGGAAATGCATAGGAACTGTATCTATATTATTAGCAAACCGAATAATACAAAGAAAATATTTCTGATGAACATACGTTTCATAAACACGGATTTATGTGTTAATATGACAGAATACGAATTCACATTAATATTCGGACACGTAATGGAAAATTTCCTGTTAACCCCTCGCCACTCTCTCAGATAGCGCGATAAGCCCACCGCCCACCATCGCCTACCCAGGTAAAACGAAACCATGCAGAGTCGCTGTAAACATTTCCGCCTGAAAACACCTCTTGCAATGGGGCGCAAGGGAAAAAAACTCGACATTCGAGCAGAGGCAGCTAATGGTTTTCCACCTCAATAAAGGGACGCTCCGGCAGAGCGATCACAAATCTTTGACTCATAAACAACAGCACGGTGTACGATATCATTAAGAAATTTGGTAAAGAAGACAGAATTTAATCTAAACGTAATGTAAGAAGATGGACAATGTAGGACAATGTAAGAAGATTCGCGAAGGAGAGCAGCGTGCACTTTTGAGGAAAGTACGAGAAAATCCGAAGGTGAGTGCCGTCCAGCTGGCAACGGAACTGCGCGAAGCATCAGAGACATCTGTGCACCCCGAAACTGTGCGCAGAGAAATTAGGAATGCCGGATTTCACGGCAGAGCGCCCAGGAAGAAAACCTTTATCCGTGCTGGGAATAGAGCTAAACGACGTCAGTTCCCAAAGGAATATGCGACCAAATCAGAGGAGTGGTGGCGTGAGGTAATTTTTGTACATGAGAAAGAGTTTCATATTTTTGGCAGTGACGGTAGGAAAATGATATGGCGTAAACCAAATACAGAATTTCATCCTAAAAACATAGTGCCAACAGTAAAACACGGAGGTGAACACATGATGGTGTGGGGCTGCATATCAGCTGCTGGCGGGGGGGGAGCTGGTGTTTATTGAAGACACAATGAACAACCATCAGTATGTCAACATACTGAAAAAGAATTCACACAAATCTGTTGACACACTGGGTATCAGGAACTCGTTTAAATTTTATCAAGATAACGGCCCGAAACGCAAATCGTATTTAGTGCGGGAATGGTAGTTGTACAATTGTTCAATAGTGCTGGAAACGCCGTCTCAGTCTCCAGACCTTAATCCATAACAATTGATGGCAGTCAGAAGAATCCCATTACGTGAAAGTCCCATCTGCAAGAGAGAATCAATAAAGAATGGGAACAAATGGGACAACACTATCTGAAAATAATTATTGGTTCAATGCTAAAACGATTGCAGCAAGTCATTAACAATGGTTATGCTACAAAGTATTAATTTTATTTTGCTTATTTCTTTATTCATTTACATTATATTTCATTTCACTGTCCGAATATTACTGTGGCTAAAGAATTCACAGTGTTTTATTTTGTTTTCTTTTTTATTGAATGCGTCAACTACATTAGGCATTTTTGTTTTGTTTATACTGTTATCCATTAATAGAGGAACAGTTAAGTTTCACTTTCTTGATTATATTTCTTTCCTACAACCGCCAAAACATCGCAGAACGTCCTATTTTTGGAGTATCTCTAGGTGTCCGAATATTAAAGTGAGCCACTGTGTCACTACAACCCGAACAAGTTAAATTACAAGTTGCACATTCTTTTGGAAATCTTTGGGTGGCACTTTTAGCACGGTGCATCCGAGAAGCTAATAATTTAATTTCCGAATACGAGACGATCACGTGAACACCTGGGATATGCTGTGGAGTAATATAGCATTTCTACGCACGATACTCCGCTCTTAACTCCGAGGTCAAACACTAATTCACCGGACATCATTCGCGTAAATTACCAAGTTCTGTCGTGGCGGACAACCAGTTTATGAGTGTATCTGACGTGACGCGGCTGTTTGAAACGCCTGTCCGCTTCGGTTTGAGTAGCGAAGGTCACAGTCCGCTGCCCTCTGGAACTGGAATCTCCGTTGCCTTACTTGCGTCGACCATCATCCATCACTGATGACATTTCTGGAAGAGCATAACATCTGACGGTTTCCCTACTGGCCTTGACCTATTCCATAGAGAGATCACAAAATACTACCAGGTGGCATTGAGCGATTATTTAAAATGAATTGTCCCTAAAATAGAAATTTAAATTGATATTTAGATTTACAGTTTTTTACATGTAAAAATGTTACACTAAACTGTTTAAAAATGAATATTTTGTACAGTTATAATTATGATGAATTTGTAAAACAAATTGCCGAATCACAATAAAAGGCATTTAAGGAACTAAGAAGATTAAGATGCACGTTTATTTCAAAAGCTACAATATTGAATTGTACCATGAAAAATAATTCGTAAGTCTAGGATTTCATTTTTAACTTTTTCACTTACTTTCACTTACGTAGAAAAGAAAAAGTTGTGTAATGCAGCAGGAAAAGTCAACAATTTTTCGGCGGTCGGGATAGTTCTACTTCTTATATATAGTAAATTACTTCCTCTAGCACTTTTGGTGAGTCCTTGATACCGACAAATCGACTGACAGCAAAACATGTTGGTCTGTCTGTAAACAGAGCTGGCTGCTTAATCACAAGCAGAATTTTCTCAAAAATGTATATTTTCCTTTCAGCAACCTTTGACTTTGTAATGGATTGTCTGATTTTGGGAATACTTTACATAAAGCCTCACCATTTTCAATTTTTTCTCAAAATTCGTCTACAAATGTTTTCTTTACTTTTTCTCAATAGAACTATGGACGCATACATATGCGTTGCATTTCCTGAACTTTCGACAATTGCAAACGTTCAACATATTTTCGGTGTTTTCTACAACTATAATATTGAAGATTTTTCTTTGTTTTCTTATTCGATTCATCAAAAATATATCTTCAAAAAGGTAATGATTAATGATTCGAAAAGATGAGTAGTTCTTGTGTAATTGTGCATGAACAATGACAATTTTTTAAATGTGTACGCATTTTTTTCTCATTTGTAGGAAAAAACGGTAGTAATTTTGGGATATCTGATGTATAATTTGGAAGAAGTAGAAACTCATAATGGTTTGATACTAGGCAATAAAATAATAATAAATATTTTCAATACAATTTAAATGACATTTTTATTACATATCTTATTACAAGTTTTTGTTCGAAGTTAACTTAATGAGTTATCATAAAATATATATCATAAAATTGGATACATTTTATCGTAGTATAAAAATGGACAAATTTTCAAGTGAATCTCATTGATTTTCGTAGTAAATTGTTATATTTCCGATTCCTTAACTTCAAAAAGTAAAATGCGGACTTAGTACCCTTTAAAGCTGAAGAATGTCATATGTCTAAAAACATATTCATCATTAATGAAAGTATAAATGAAAACTATGTAATCCATACTATGCAAAATGTTTAAAACTGAATTTTTATAAATATATTTTAAATCGATACGAAAATTAAACTTAATTTTTAATTTTCGAACATCACTACCGCAAGTGTTTGGAGATTGTATTGTCACATGATACATCAACATCTGCAACACACAGGTGTCGTCCACGAGAGCGTATACGGAAAAGAGCTGCAAACTCATCCTGATAATTGCTTTCGTAATTATTTGGCTGATCATTATTTTACTCCAGCTAATACCATTTCGCCACTGGTGCTCAATCAAATCAAAATGTTGTGAGAGTATTAACATCATGAAAAAGGGAATTGCTTCGTAGATAGAACTAGCTAAATTGCTAAGTGGTTTATTGCTTAAAACTTTTTATATTAGATAAGAATGAATATTATTGCGCAAATGTTTTTCTTGGATAGTGATAAAATGTTCTCGTGAATTTGGCATTGTCGAATCTTCGACGTGTTCCTGATACGACGTGGAGTTCATGTACATTCAAATGAACATAGAAAAATAATGTATTATGCACATGCTAATAATTTATCACACACAAAACTAACATTTAAAAATACTTAATTTCCTTCCATATGTTTTCCAAACAATCATATAAACGACAGGAACGATATTTAATTCCGCCTCTTGTCGGGGATTTCTTTATGGTATCCATTTGCGTATCTAAAACATGTCAGCTTTATCTGCAATGTGCTACAAATGCAAAGGCACAAATACGGTTCATTTTAGAGAAGGAATTGTATAAGTAACGTTATGTTTGTAATGCGCTTTAAGAATCGATGTAAGATTGTATGAACTCGTATATGTGGCATACAATAAATGTACGACTGAATGTTTTATTACAGTACGCTTAACCAGAGCAAATGAAAGAAATAGTGCGTGTTTGTCAATGCAATGAGTGCTGACGTTTTTCTTTGCATTGTATCTCTACATCGGAAGAGAAAAGAGTTCAGTAAACAAGGCAGCCAGTAAAATTGGAAATGTATTTTTACACAAGATAAATACCACATCATCTTTGTGTAAAATTTTCCTTTCTTTGGATAAAAAAAGTATTGTGAATCGCCTGAGGTATATCTTTTTCTGATTTTTCTGATCGGCGAATTGGCCGTTTAGGACCACGCGGACATACCCCTGCACTTACAAAGGCTCGGTTACATTTATCGCATTGGCAAGTGCATACGGCTCCTTTTTCAGCATTATGCTGAATCCAATTATTATCCTCCAGGGAGGGATGGGATATGGAATGATGATGATAATAACGAATGAATGGACGACACACACATACAAACATACACAAACACAGCCCGCACAACAAACATGCCCGAGGCGGGTCTCGAATCTGTGATCCTTCTCTCCAAGAACGCTCCGGCACTACTGCTTTAGCGATCCAGGCTATCCGGATCGGCGAAATATCTTCAAATTAATTATTTTAATTTTTATTAGTTTAGTATTTTCTTTGTTGCGTTAGCAATTTCATCTAATACGGGGTTTGAAGAAATATATAGTTTGATCTGGACGATTATCTTGTTTGGCAAAGGATCTCAAGTATTTAAAAAAATTGCATATGTAACAATAATAAAGCCATTTTATATTTACTCAGGAAATATAAGAAACCAAATAAAATAATTAAAGTACGTCAATAGTTCATATATTGAACATCTTGCAACCTTCTTTAAACGATTAATATCACGTAGTTTTCAATCCACTAAGATTAATAATAATAATAAAAACATATTTACAATCATTCACACTTCTTGAAACAAATGTAATTGAAATTCACATTCTTACTGTCATGTGTGACGTGTATTTATGATTTTTGAATTCGCAATTTTTAAGA